GAGCGACTACCACTACGGCCACCCCGACTGCTCAAACCGGCGTACCACTCACGAGCCTGCTGGACCAGAAGAGGGCACGGCTGCTGCACCTGTCCACTACCAGGGGCTCCCGAACGACGCACGCCAGAGCGACTACCACGCCGGCCACCCCGACTGCCCAAACCGGCGTACCACTCACGAGCCTGCTGGAGCAGAAGAGGGCACGTCTGCTGCACCGGTCTACTACCAGAGGCTCCCGAACGACGCACTCCAGAGCGACTACCACTACGGCCACCCCGACTGCCCAAGCCGGCGTACCACTCACGAGCCTGCTGGAGCTGCATCTGGCCACGTCAGGAGCAGCAGCAGTAGCGGCAGCAACAGCAGGAGCAGTAAAGGCAGTAGCAGCAGCAGTAACGGTAGCAGTGCTAGCACGGCAAAGCTCACCAGTGGTTGGTGCGGCGGGCGCAAGACAGTGGCGACAGCGTGGCCGCTGCAACAGCGGGGCGGGGCCAGGTCGTAGCAGGGAGCTCCGCGGCAGCTGCTGCAGGGTCGGCGGCGGCCGCTGCTGTAGGCTCGGCGGCGGCTGCTGCTGCAGGGTCGGTGGCGGCTGCAGCTGCAGGCGCGGCGGCGGCAGCTGCTGCAGGTCGAGCGGCGGCTGCTGCTGCAAGCTCGGCGGCGGCAGCTGCTGCAGGTCGAGCGGCGGCTGCTGCTGCAGGCTCGGCGGCGGCAGCTGCTGCAGGTCGGCGGCGGCTGCTGCTGCAGGCTCGGCGGCGGCAGCTGCTGCAGGGTCGGTGGCGGCTGCAGCTGCAGGCGCGGCGGCGGCAGCTGCTGCAGGTCGAGCGGCGGCTGCTGCTGCAGGCTCGGCGGCGGCAGCTGCTGCAGGTCGAGCGGCGGCTGCTGCTGCAGGCTCGGCGGCGGCAGCTGCTGCAGGTCGGCGGCGGCTGCTGCTGCAGGCTCGGCGGCGGCAGCTGCTGCAGGTCGGCGGCGGCTGCTGCTGCAGGTTCGGTAGCGGCAGCTGCTGCAGACGAAGTCGAAGCCGCGAAGGGGCGGCTGAGGGATTGCGACGGGCGGCTAAGGGGCCGCGATGCGTGGGTAAGGAGCCGCGACGGCGGCTGAAAGGGCCGCCACGAGCGGGTAGGGAGGTGACGACGCCACGGGAAAGGCGACGCGGCGGGCGGCGAGAGCCTGCAGCGGCGGGCAGCTCGCGGGCAGTGCGCGGAGCCGCACAAGGCTGCGACGGGTCGCGTGACAAACCCTAAGCCGCGCGCGGGCGGCTAGCTGGTCGCGCGCACGAAGAATCGGCCGCGCGCGGGCGGCTAGCGAGGCGCGCGCGCGAAAAATCGGCCGCGCACGGGCGGCTAGCGAGTCGCGCGCGTTAAAAACGAGCCGCGCGCGGGTGGCTAGCGGGCTGCGTGCGCGCGGTAGGTAGAGGCGCACGAGGGCGCGCGGTAGGTAGAGGCGCACGAGGGCGCTAAGGCGCACGAGGGCGTGCGGTAGGTAGAGGCGCACAAGGGCGCTAAGGCGCACAAGGGCGCTCGGTAGTGAGAGGCGCACGAGGGCGCACGAGGGCGCACGATAGGTAGGTAGGTAGGTAGGTAGCGGTGGGCCCTAGGAGCGGTCCTAGCAAAGGACCTGCTCTGATACCATGTCAGAATGAACAGGCAGGAATGAGGAACTAGAAAGGATGGTGAGTACAAATATGAAACCCTAATGTTGTGACCCCCTTATAGGCTAACCCACTACAGCCTACACAAACACAACATATATAATGTTTGACAGCAGGCAGGCAGGCAGGCAGGCAGGCAAGCAGACAGGCAGGCAGGCAGGCAGGCAAGCAGACAGACAGGCAGGCCGGCAGGCAAGCAGGCAGGCCGGCAGGCAGGCAGGCAGGCAGGCAGGCAGGCCGGCAGGCAGGCAGGCAGCCAGGCCGGCAGGCAGGCAGGCAGACAGGTAGGTCGTCAGGCAGGCAGGCAGGTGCTCACCAGGCGAGCAGGGCCGGCGCTCGACGGGCGGCGGCCGAGTAGGCGCACGACAGCGGCGGCGTCGGGGCCGCAAAACCGGCTGCAGAGCAGGGCCGAAGCAGCTGCAGGGCGGGGCCGTCTCAGCGGCAGTAGCAGGGTGGGGCCGCGTCAGCGGCAGGTCGGGGCCGTGGCAGCTGCAGAGCGGGGCCGCATCAGCGGCAGGTCGGGGCCGTGGTAGCTGCAGGGCGGGGCCGCATCAGCGGCAGGTCGTGGCCGAGGCAGAGGGCCACGTGCGGCTCGGCGCGGGCTGCGCGGACAGCGCGCGGAGCTGCTGCAGGCCGCGCGCGGCCGCGCTAGGGAGTAGCGGGCCGCGCGCGGCTCGGCGCGGGCTGCTGCGGGCCGCGCGCGGGCCTCGCGAGGCCGTAGCAGGCCGCGCGCGGCTCGACGCGGGCTGCGCGCGGCAGCTGCGGGCTGCGCGCGGCTGCAGCGGGCTGTGCGCGGCTCGGTGCGGGCTGCGCGCGGCTGCAGCGGGCTGTGCGCGGCTCGGCGCGGGCTGCGTGGGCTCTGTGCGGGCTGCGCGCGGCTGCAGCGGGCTGCGCGCGGCTCGGCGCGGGCTGCGCGGGCTCTGTGCGGGCTGCGCGCGGCTGCAGCAGGCTGCGCGGGCCTTACGGGCCTCTAGGGGCGGCGCGTGGGCCTTACGGGCCTCTAGGGGCAGTGCGCTGGCCTAGGGCAGTAGGAGGCAGCGCTAGGGCTGCTGGACGGCGCACATAGTGCAGCACGTCACAAGGCAAGGCAAGGCAGGCAGGTACGTGGGGTAGCGCGGTAACCGCAGCGGTAGGTGGGCCCGAAAAAAAAACGGTCCTACGGACCTTAGTGCTCTGAAACCATGTCAGAAACTAGAAGCAGGAATGAATGAACTAGCAGCATGCAGGAGTACAAGTAGTAAACCCTAATTGGGCTGTACCCCATATGGGCTACCCCACTACAGCCTAGACAATATCCAGCATATATGTTTGACATCGGCGACCGTGTCCTTCTCGATAGCCGCAACCTCCGACTGCCACAGGACGGCAAGCTTCGCCCACGCTTCATTGGTCCATTTGTCATTGAGCGCGCACTTGGTCCAGTCGCATACCGCCTTCGTCTTCCCGCTCATTTCCGCATGCATCCGTCATTCCACGTGTCTCTCCTCCGTCCATACACCGATCCCAACGCCACCTTCTCGGGCCGTGATCGCACTCCACTGCCGGTAGCTGTTGATACCGACAAGCCCGACTACCAGATCCAGCGCTTCCGCAGGCACCGTCGCCGTCTCCAGGGGGGTGTCTCTTTCATCGACTTCTTGGTTCGTTGGCGTGGTTACGATGCAGCCGACGACAGCTGGGTCCCTTCGTCCTCGCTGTCTCCTGACAACGCTTGCCTCCAAGCGTACCTTCAGTCTGCAGGCGCCGCGGACGTCGCCTCCTTGGGAGGGGGGTAGTGTTAGAGGGGTGTTTACTGTTCATTCCGAACAGTACATTCCAAGTCACCCTTATCCTTATCTTCTCAGATTCTCTAGTGCCACGTGGCACTCTACTTTTCTTGCACTCCAATTCTTGGTCCCACAATCCAATTTCCAACCTTTTTTCTTGCATGCTATATAAACCTAGCTTATACTTGGCATTATCAACCAATTCTCATTCAACTCTTCTTCAATTACTCAGTTATTTCTTGCCTATTTCGCCAACACTCTCTTTCGCCAAAGTCTTCCGCCGCGTTTATTCTCGACTTAGTCGACCCTGCTATTTCTTTAGCGGACTTAGGCCGTCGGGCCTATCAGTGACCCACATGGGGCTCACAGGATCAAGTTCCTGATTCGATGGAAAGACCGCACGCACACCAATTGAAGACAGCTGGGTTCCCTTTGACAAGATTGAAAACCACCCCGTCCTCAGTGACTATCTGTGCAGCCGCAATTTCCAGGATGTACACGCACTCTCGTAAGGAGGGCCTCCTTAGGGAGGGGGAGGGGGTAGTGTAAGGAATTTCTATTTCCTTAGGCCGCACATCACTCTACATCACATCACATCACTATATTTTCGTACATCACTGTACTCGCCACACTCGCCACCGTTACCACTCGCGACTTTCTTCTCGACCATTTCCCACCACCTCGCCCGTCGCACCCCAACTCACGGCTCGGCTGGTAACCCGCGCTCCAGGCCTCCGCTTCGACACTTCTCGACGTTAGTCCCAACCTCAGTCCTAGGCCCGTAGCGCACCACCCACAGTTCGTTACCGTTAGCGCTGTGGCCTTCGCTATTTAGTTCTCGCTCATTCCTTCGCTCATTGTAATGTTTTGCTTAGATAGTGCTATTCGCGCTCGCTCGCTCAATTGCACTAGTAACATAGACACAAATATCGACGCAGGAATGTACCCTTAGTGCAATCCTCGCTAGCTCGAATACAACTCTACGCAACCCTTCCCACGCAAACGTCGAGTCTTGTTCTACATGCGTGTGCATGGCGCTCGCCACGCTAGTTGGGGATCGAGTTCTGCGGCAAGGAGTGTTCACGTCGCTGAATGTCGTTGCACTCGAACGCGCAAGTACTAGCAGCGCGTGTCGTTCCGTCGGTACCCGCGCGCTCGCCGCTGTAGCAGCCGCCTCGGGAGCTGACTCCAGGGGGGTGGCCGCTGAGTCCAGGGGGGTGGAGCAGGGAGGCGCTCGTCTCTCCGTGCGTGCGGCAAGCCGTGCAGCGCCAGGAGGCCCGCTTCACGCGAAAAGCGGCGGCGATAGCGAGGGTGCGGGGCGCATAGCGGGGTGGGCGTGCATCGAGCGTTGCGGCGCGTGCTGCCAGCTGGATAAGGGCGAACTGGCGCCGCCCATCGAGACGATTCTGCGCGACCCGAGCGAGCTGGCGGTGAGGAGCTCGTGGCTGGATGATAGCGCCGTGTCCGCTTCTCCTGCCCACCCGTGTGTTCGCGCCCCTCAATCTGCCCGCTTCCCATCTCCTTCCATTCCGTCCATTCCGCCCCCGCTTACGTGCGGTGCGCGTTGGATTGGCCGTGCATGGCAGGTATACCGCAGCATGGTGGGGGCGGACGGGTGGTGCCGGCACTACGACAAGGACACTCGAGCATGCCGCATATACCACTGTGAGATGGGCGCCCTGCATGCACCGCGGGCACCACGCACCATGCAGCAAGCAGCAAGCACAGACTGCACGGCACCGACACTCAAACGCACGCAGGCATTCTTGAGTGGCACGGCGTGCATAGCATGTGGTGTGCCAGCACGCTTCCACTGTGTCAATCTTCATGCGGGCACCCGCTGCCTTCCCCCATGCTTGCCTCCCACGTGCATCCATCTCCCCTTCCCCCATGCTTGCCTCCCACGTGCATCCATCTCCCCTTCCCCCATGCTTGCCTCCCACGTGCATCCATCTCCCCTTCCCCCATGCTTGCCTCCCACGTGCATCCATCTCCCCTTCCCCCATGCTTGCCTCCCACGTGCATCCATCTCCCCTTCCCCCATGCTTGCCTCCCACGTGCATCCATCTCCCCTTCCCCCATGCTTGCCTCCCACGTGCATCCATCTCCCCTTCCCCCATTCTTGCCTCCCACGTGCATCCATCTCCCCTTCCCCTATTCTTGCCTCCCACGTGCATCCATCTCCCCTTCCCCCATTCTTGCCTCCCACGTGCATCCATCTCCCCTTCCCCCATTCTTGCCTCCCACGTGCATCCATCTCCCCTTCCCCCATTCTTGCCTCCCACGTGCATCCATCTCCCCTTCCCCCATTCTTGCCTCCCACGTGCATCCATCTCCCCTTCCCCCATTCTTGCCTCCCACGTGCATCCATCTCCCCTTCCCCCATGCTTGCCTCCCACGTGCATCCATCTCCCCTTCCCCCATTCTTGCCTCCCACGTGCATCCATCTCCCCTTCCCCCATTCTTGCCTCCCACGTGCATCCATCTCCCCTTCCCCCATTCTTGCCTCACACGTGCATCCATCTCCCCTTCCCCCATTCTTGCCTCCCACGTGCATCCATCTCCCCTTCCCCCATGCTTGCCTCCTACGTGCATCCATCTCCCCTTCCCCCATTCTTGCCTCCCACGTGCATCCATCTTTCCTGCCTCCAGCCCGCCCTCGCTTCTGCCGAGTGGAAGCGGATGTTTTTTGGGACCTGTACCGTATTGCACCGCATCAACTGGCAGCCATGGCGAGAAGGTGTGCTGGGAGCACGGGTGGTGTGTGGGGTGGTCCCTGTGTGGACACAGGGGACGTGAAGCTCTCATCTCGCTATCTGCACACACACCCCCTTGCTCATGCCCCTCCTCACTATCCTTTGCTTCACGCTCACCCATTCTGCAACTTTGTACTGCTCCTGAATCACTCTTCTCTGCTTTGCTCACACCGCCACTCCAACCCCCCCCCCCCCCCCCCCCCCCCCCTCCCCCCCCCCCGGCCTCCCTCGATCGGCTCCCCCACCCCTTCCAGCTTCTGCCGTGTGTCCATCGCTGATGTGTATGGGCCTCGCTCTGACGAAATGAAGCGATTCAAAGCAGCCAACCGAAAGAGGCCAGGGGATGAACAGCCGAGATGAGCCGGGTGGGTGATGTGGCCGCATGGGGTGGAGGGTGCACGGAAAGTGTAGCCTAGGGTCGCCTTATAAAAAGGAAGGAGGGTGCTTGACAGTACCGCACGTAGCCTCTCGATGGTGGCCATCGTTGACTGTCGCAAATAATAGTCATCTACTGATAGAAACTGATTGAATGCACACAGAGAATCTTGATGTAGCTGTAAATACTGTCGCACAATAGTGCTGTTGGGGGGGGGGAACAGGGGATATTAAGGTGAGAAATAGCGTGCTCAAGTCTTGTCTTTCTCTTGGGGGGCGAACAGTGGATATTCACCAACACAGTCCAGACACACTCAGTCCCCCAATAGGTTACCGCCCTCGCTTCATTAGATAACGCGAGATGGATCACACACATTCATGTTGCGCATGCAAGTACGGTACAGTTCAGCTTTGCAAGGCCCTTTGTTCTATCCGCCTTTTGGCAACCCATACAAACACAGGAGAAGCTGTGGACATTATTCTACACAATGGAGACATGGCGGTGCTGCTGCCACCCCTTGCGTGACTTGCCACACAGGCACATGCTCCGCTGGAAAACAGCTGCTCTCCTTTCTCATCCTACTCTCAACGCCTCCGCTGCTACCCCCTCGCCTCGCCGCTCCATTGCCTTCCCTTCTTGTCTCTGCTGAGTCCACCAAACACGAAACAGAAAACCCGCGTCTCTGTGCAATGTTCAGCTGCGTGTGCAGCATCTGGATCTGCTTTGCAGCTTTCCCCGCCGCATCGCCATCAAATCCGCACTGGGAAGCCGCATCGGAACACCTCGCACATGCCATGTCAGCTGCATCATCCGTTGTGCTGCAGATGGCACTCCCACAGAAAAGGACATGTTCCTTCCTCAAGCAGCATGTCTGCTCCTGCTCTCCCATGCTCATAACCGATTCAGTCACTTGGAGAGCAGCGGTTGAAGAGCATTCCGAGGAGGGGCTTGAGGCTGTACACTGGTGGTCCAGAGGCGAGCACGGCGACCACGGATCGCTGCCAGCACCTGCTAAGTCTGGGAGTGACTTTCTGCGGGGGAAGTAGTGCAATCGATCCTCGACGCTGAGCTTATCGAGTGTGGAAACTCGCCGTGAGACACTCGAATCTGTTGCTTGGTCCGTGGGATTGGGCGGCACTTCGTAGCTGCGGCGCTGCGACGGACCCTTTCATCGCGGAAAAGGAAAATTGCGATTTGGGGGGTCCGAAGGTTTTTCTGCGAAAAACCTGCGACTTAGTTGCGCGAAGTGTACAAAAAACAACGCACGCAAAATGCAACAATCCGCACACCAGTGTCGAGGGTTTTGACTGAAACAACACAGTCACGCAAAAGTGTCCATTCCGTCAACATTTTCGCGTCGTGCGGTGACGCACGGTCAACATAGATTACAAGCGGTTTAGCACTGTGACAATGTTTGACAAATGTAACAACAGAACAAACGAAACAATGCGAATCAACGAAACCAAGCGAGTTTGTACAGCTGGAAACCCGCTTTCGCTTTTTCCAAATCTGAACCCAAACCAACCAACTCCAAACCTCAGACGGTCGATGTCTTCTTCAGAAGTGTGACGTGTGAGGCTAAAAATCATTTTCACCCAATCCGCACACGCCGAAATATACACGTCAGCCACCCAACCAAACATCCACCGAATATGCTCTCACCTTCTCCCAGAGAATCCATCTCCCACAATTCACACAACCAACTTCGTTCTCCCCTCCCCTTCTTCATTGTTCCCTTTGGTGACGGCACGGCAGGTTTGAATGAGCCGGTCGCACGATTCCACGCTTCCAGTCGGCGATTCACATTGGAAAACCGAGATTTCTCAGCAGCCACGTTAGCGCCAGGATCCATAGCTCCGATGTTCTAGTACCCGTTACTAGAACCACAGTGTGGATAGTCAGTGAGCCTTGCGGCACACAACGATGCGGGTTTCGTCTCTCCCTCCTCCTGGAACCTCGCAATGCGCTATCTGCAGCTGCCAGGCCGACTAACCACGAGTTTGGAGCGGTAGAAGGAACTCTGCAGAGCGCCGGTGAGAAAGTAGTGGAATGGATAAAGAGTGTCCACAAGGGCTGCTGAAATAGATCGAAAGCCTGGCCATGGCTGCTCAACTTGCAAGTGGATGGGTGGGACTTGCGGTACACGTGTGGTAAGCCGGGTCAGGCAGACAGCTGCACTACATGAGTGAGCTCGCGTTGCGCCACTTGAAGTTCCGGTGGGGATAAGCTCTGCCAATCATGCGAATTCCAGGTTGCGCACTTCTGTACACAGCCATGTGGCCTACAGCGCAGGTGGAGTTACGAACGGAAGTGACCTCAAGAAAATAAAATCCACGGATTGTCCAATTCGGCGCTCTGTCGCACCCGACATAGCTCCTCCACTTCTCGTTCAGGAAAGAGACCTTTTTCTGCTCACCAGATGTCGTGAGGCTCTCCAATTGTAACAGTGCAGCAGCCGAATGCTGCCAACTGCAATGCAGGTGGGCGGAAGTCACTCGTAACAGTGCAGCAACACACTTCCAAGAACAGTGCAGGTGGGCGGAAGTCAAGCGCCACCTCACCTACAGTTCGGATTGGTCAAACGCCTCAACCTGCAGCTGGGCGACCAGATTCCGACACGCAGCCCAAGTCAATCCCACGCACGAAAATTACGAAACGCAGGACACCAAAGTTCCGACCGCTCGCCGACTTCGCCAACAACACCGACGAAATTACAGCCCCGTAACCAAGCTCGCCGGCCAATCCCGTACCGCAATAATTCTCTGAATTTCACGGCAGGTTCATTTCAAAGGGTTGGGTTACCATTGAGAAATTCAGAGAAAGTCGCGACTTGGGAGTGCGACTCGATGTTTGAATGTGCTCTATAAAATTGTACTCTGAAATTTGTGAAGTCATAATGCAATTTCCAGAAAATTCCAGAGAGCACTCTATACTCATTCTCCAAGCCTACTAAGGCTACTATCTCCCTGCCAGCAACGTTTCACTGGTAATCAGAGCCTGGTTTGTTATTTCGCACGCTCCTGCCATATTCTAGACCCTATGGCTGGGCCGTCGGATATGACGCCGGAACTCTGGAACGAGTTTGTTGCTAATATGCGCCGAGAGATTGAACGCGAGGTGCGTGACCGGATTCTCGGCGAACTCCAGGAACGTGGACTCCTGGGCACACAGGTGCCGGCGCCAGCACCTGCTGTGGTGTCTGCATGACCGAAGGCACCCGAACCTGAACCGTTCATCCCTGGAAAACGTCACTTACCGGTGCGACGGTGGCTTTTCCAAGTGGAGGAATACCTCTCCCTTTGTCATGTCAACCGGGCGGAGTGGGCTCGGCACGCCGGCATGATGCTGCGGGGAGCTGCTGCTACTTGGTGGCAGAGCTGCCACGCTACAATTTCAACATGGGAAGAATTTTCTGCATCGCTCCTAATGAACTTCGAACCGGTCAACGCCATCGAGCGCGCGCGTGACAACCTTGCTGATTTACGCCAACACCGCTCGGTCGCTGAGTACATCAATCGCTTCCGCGAGCTCGTGCTTGAGATTCCTGACATCCCTGCTGCTGAACAGATGGACAAATTCAAGCGTGGGCTAAAGCCCAAAATCCGCACCGAGGTTGAACTTCGTGGCGCTGCGACGCTGGATGAGATGATTCGTGTCGCCGAGCGTTTTGACACCATCAACTTCGCAGCGTACCAGCGATTCCAAGGGCGAACCGGGCAGCACGCAGTAGCTGGACCTACTATCCGCACCAACGGTCCTACTCCCATGGAGCTCGGTGTGGTGGACCAGCGCACACGCAACCAATCCACGCTCACGTGCTACTCGTGCGGGAAAGTCGGCCACATCAAGCGACACTGCCCGAACCGCCGCAACTTCGAAAGGTCTCCGGGAAACGGACAGCGCCAGTAGCAGTGGGGCAGACCTCTGGCGCATCGCATGCCCCGCTTCTCCCGACCCCATTATCCATCGGCACCTCCGAACTCTACACCACATCAAACGCCCCATTCCCCGCTATCATTCTATGGGCAAAAATAAAGGATCGCTATGTTGACTTTCTACTCGATACCGGCGCTTCAGCAAACTTTCTCTCTCCCTCTATTGTGGCTGAACTTTCTCTTCCCGAAGATCCCAACAGGACGTCATCATGGCAGATGGTACTCGGCGGCGCTGCGGACCTACTCTCCTCCCCGTGCACTGCATGTTCGGAAGTCTGGAGGCGACGGTCACGTTCGAGCAAATGCACCTCGGCGGCTATGAAGGCGTGCTCGGACGACCGTGGTTGTACCAGCTTGGACCGCGAATTTATTGGCGTAACGCAACGGTCACCGTCGGCAACTACGACCTCCCATCGCGCTCCTACCGCCGCCCATGGTCATCCCCAACAACTTCAGCCTCATCAACCCATCCACCCCAACCTGCCCCACCTCCAGCCTCCCATATCCCCCCTCTTCCTCCTCCTCTCATAGCCCCCGCGCAGCAGCCAACACCACCCGGCTCCTCCGAAGTCATCAACACACCTCCTCCTTCCCCACCCCACCCAACCCAGCAGCCACGCCGTTACCTCTTCCGCCCTTTCTCTGAAGTTATCAACCCACCAGCCCCCACCCC